CAGCCTCAGAGTTTCCCTGAATTTCATCATAGTATGTGCTATTGTCTACTACATCATTTTAATTGGACATAATCTAGGCATCTTGGTTTGCAAAACCATACCATCATTCTGCAAATCCACTTTTAATTATGCCTCCTACAAAAGCAAAGAGCTTCACCATCAAAATACCTCTGCATCAACTCTGATTTATCTTCTACTTCCCACATCTAACCAATCACCAAATTCTCTTGATCGTACCTTTAAGATATATCTCAAGCCATGCCTTGCTTTCTATGACCATTGCCAACATTGAATAAGATGTTTGATATAACAAGCTTATTGTTTCCCTACTGACCTGTCATAACCACTTCCCCTGACACCATTTCTTCTTCACTCCAACTACTTTCAAAAGTATTCCAGAATTTCCTCTCTAAAGCAGAAATCTGAATGTATTTCTCCTTGTTTTCTCAGTTATTTGGAGTTCTGAAGCATAACCTCTTTTTTTTATTTATTTTTTTAAAGATTTTATTTATTTATTTGACAGAGAGAGACACAGCGAGAGAGGGAATACAAGCAGGGGGAATGGGAGAGGGAGAAGCAGGCTTCCCGTGGAGCAGGGAGTCCGATGCGGGGCTCGATCCCAGGACCCTGGGATCATGACCTGAGCCGAAGGCAGATGCTTAACGACTGAGCCACCCAGGTGCCCCGCATAACCTCTTTAATATTGTAGATTTCCCATTATCTGATGCCAAACAACGATGCCAAGACCACTCACACACACACCCCCGTTTTCATGTAACCCCTTTTGTGCAAGATATTTGTTTAATTTCATACTTGCTATTTTTTTGTATTTAATAATGCATTTATGTATTTTCTGAGACTCAAATACTACCTCAAAACTTAGCTAGAAATACAGTTTTATCTTCATCACTCCTCTTTAATCTTGGTACCTATCCCTCAGAAGAACCTCATTTAACTTCTTTAGCTGTTTCTAAATAACATATTAATACTGCTATTCCTAACATTTTTTTCTTTTTTACCCAATTCCTATTGTGGAAGATGATGATTTATCTCTATTAACTGTCTCCTTTTTCCTCTCAAGCCACTTCTAAACTTTTCTTCCATCCAGCCCCCCAACAGAGAAATATCTTAATTTTAGGTTAAGTGATTATGTAATGTTTACAATTTTAGTACCATTTAAACATTACCACAGCTGAGCCATAGAATCAGAGAGATCAATGTATTTATTCCCCCAGCTATGATTACTTTCCTTTCTTCAACAACTTTTTATTTTCTAGAAGGTTAATTTCCTTGGCTTCCCACCCCCAAAGTTTCTATGAACCTATCATTAATCCACTCCAAAATTTTCAACAGAACTACCACCATCTCCTCAGTGCATTCATAATCTGTCAGTTTTTATTTTTCTTTGAGATGTACCTTTGGGAGTTCAGTCTTCTTTTCCCTATACTTAATTCTTTCTAGGCTTCCATCAGAATTAACTACTATTTTTTGGAAATTCTCTTCAGTATTATCTTAGGAATTTCCTCTGCTTCTCACATGAGCTTCCATAACAGCTTTTAAATATTTCTATTTTGTACCTACTACTTTATATTGTAGTTTTTGAGGTCCTTGCAGGCTGGAGACCGTATCTAACTTTGAATGCTTTATCTAGCTTTGTATGCTTCATATCTCTCCTGGTTCTTAGTTCATGGCAGGTGTGCAACCAACATGGTTTTGGAATTGAGGCAACTAAATGAAGTCCAGCAAGATAGTCTGCCAAGGTGCTCTTTATTTAATTATGCTTCACAGAAAGTGTCACCTTGCAACAGAATAATAATAGTGCTAAAAGCTAACTTTTCATGAGTGTTTACTATGTGCCAAGGTTTTCTCTTATTTTTAATCTTAACAAAAGTTCTATAATATAGATGCCATTATTAATCCTATTTTATAGATAAGAAAACTGAAGCACCAGGAGGTATTTGGGCCTAGCTTCATATGGTTAGTGTGTCATAAGAATTCCAACAGAAAACAGTGGCAACATTTGTTTATTAACACAGGGACTAATGGATGATGCACAGGGTCACCTCAAGGGATACTGCATGTAGCTGGGGCTACTAGTAGTGGAATTGACACCATCCCTGCTACTGGTCTTCCCCTTATCCTACCAAGTGGGAGAGTTTACCAGAATCCCAAACAAAGAGCAAGACTATAGATTGACAGCATCCTGGAGAAGAGAAGAGACCTTATGTCAAGTGACATAGAGAGCTGTAGGAAATCTTGCAAAAAGAGGGCCAAGGGAATAAATCCTTTCTGCTGGAGCTTTAACTGGGGATAGATCCCTGATACCATGCATAGAAACAGCCTCCCTGGGTAGAGAGGAGGGTGGTGAAAAATGGAAGAGA